CTTGCCAGGCTCTTTCGTGCGGGCGGAATACTCTCGGTAGCTTGCCAGTCTTTCCAAGAGGGATAGAGGCTTTTGGGGCGACCTCTAATCACTCTTGTACGTGTTACCATATTTGAACCCTATCAAATATGGTACGACAATTCCGGAAGATGGGTATTTACTGTCTTATGATGTGTCCGGAAAGCGTCCTGGAGTGTGGCGACGGCTGGGTAGTGGAAGTAGTGTCGAGAGTGGAAGTCTGCCAGTGGTGTATTTATCTGGGTAGGGTGGGTCTCCTGTGCGCAATTCAATCCCTGGGTGGTTGATGGAAGCAGACAGGGTAGGGTAGGGTGGGGCTCCTGATTAGAATCCCTTTGTCACCTGTGGTGGTGGGAGCAAGCAGAGAAGCTCTGTCCCTGGGTCCGCCTAGCCTGGAGTCCAAGGTCTCAGAGAGTTCTGCTTATCTTGTTCTGTGAGTCTTCAGTCGTGCGTGGGTCTCGGCCGGAGCTGCCACGCGGGTCCGGAAAGCGTCCTGGAGTGTGGCGATGGCTGGGTAGTGGAAGTAGTGTCGAGAGTGGAAGTCTGCCAGTGGGGTATTTATCTGGGTAGGGTGGGTCTCCTGTGCGCAATTCCCTGGGTAGTGGAAGTAGTGTCAGCACCATCGACCATATCCACACAATAACCAAGCTCATTGAGGTTTCTCGGGAGTTCAAGATGCCTCTCTGTTTAATGTTCATTGATTTAAAGAAGGCCTTTGATTCTGTTGAGATGGAAGCGGTCATTGAAGCCCTAGCCAATCAGGGCATTCAAGCCCAATACATCAGGATCCTCCGTGAGCTGTATTGCGGATTCACTACCAGGATCTCACCATTCTACAAATAAGTGATTGTTGATGTCAAGAGAGGGGTGCGGCAGGGTGATACCATTTCACCGAAACTCTTCAGTGCCACCTGTGTAAACACACAAAAAATAAAAAGGCCGGCGGTCTGGCCGTTTCCCCACTCCAAGAAGGTCGATGGCGATGGTCAGGTGAAGGAAGGAAACGAGGCCAAGCTAGTTGGTCTTAGTAGCCGTTTATTACATGGAAGAGATGTATGTCATGGAGGCCTCAGGAATCCTCGAGCACGTGCGCCTTTGTTCTCTCCGCTTCTGTCCTCAGCCCCATCTTCCCAGGTTCTCTGATGCACGTGTCCCCCCAGAGAGCCCTGAAATCTCCCTTATATAGATCATAGTACCTCTAAAGGGCGCAATATAATGATGTCATCAAAAGGAGTTACAGAAAGAACATTGAGGCGGTGGCAAACATACATTGTTTCCTTACATCCGCAGGCCAGTAATCCTGGCCTCACCTTTTCACAAACTACAAGCACTTAGATTAGCACAACAAAGACCAGTCTGTTAGAACTTGGAATCTACATCTCCAAAAAAGCAGTCTCATCCAAGCTAGTCAGGACACACAGGAAACTGCTTCTAGGACGTGTTTCTCCTCTCCTTGTCCAACCAACATATAAGCATACATAATATTAATCATTTCGTATGGACACAGTAAGAAATACTTTGAGCTTATAGAATTGCTCTCCTAGGGCCATCTCGATCTCAGACTGCAGTGCTCAGGCCAGATATCTTTCCTATTCCTAGCAGCAGGGCCCTAGTCTTGTCGTTACTTTTGGATCATGACATCATTTGCCTATGATCAAACTCTTAACTTATAGTTAAGAATCGTGGCACCTTGGCCTGGCCCATTGCGATGCCAGGGTAGCACATAACTTACCAGCTTGCCCTGGTTCCATCCAGTCCCACGTCGGGACCCTGCCCTTGGGGTGCTAGGAAGTGAGGGCAACTGAGGCTTAAGTTGAGAAGGCAGATGCCCAGGAGTGAATAATATTCAAAGCCAATCAATTCCTAAGTTACCGAGCATATTAATTAATTGTCTCCCTGTATCCATATAAAAGGACATTGCATTAAAGTAAACTGCTCAAAAGACATAAGGAGAGGAGAAAGACAAATATTAACTTACAGTACAGCTTCAGTGTCTAAGCAGGATGAGACCTTACAAATTGGTTGGGGAAGAGAGCATAGAAGAGGTCACAGACAGACAAAGTAATGGGAGTGACTCGGGAGCACTGTGATGGGTACAATCTGATAAACCCAAGCTCCGTGTACTCCAACAGCCACCCTCGAGAACATCAGGCGACGACTGGAATGGGAAGGAATGGGAGTGAAGATAGATGGTCGGCAACTACACCACCTCCGCTTTGCTGATGACATTGTTTTAATAACACCAAACATCAGCCAAGCCGCACAAATGCTGGCCAACTTTGACCGTGAGTGTGGAAAGGTAGGACTACAGCTGAATCTTACGAAGACAATGTTTATGAGAAACAGCCTTGTTCCTGACGCCCCATTCGCTCTCAATGGAACGACCATCTCCGAATGCAACAGCTATGTGCACTTAGGTCGAGAGGTCAACATGACAAATGACCTGGCACCCGAGCTGCGCAGAAGGAAGAGAGCGGCTTGGAACGCCTTCAAGAACGTCGAAGAAATAGCTAAGAGCATGAAGAACCTCTGGCTCCGGGCACATCTCTTTGATTCCACTGTTCTTCCTGCATTAACATATGCCTCAGAGACCTGGGCCCTACGCAAACAAGATGAGAACACTATTCAGGTCTCCCAAAGAAGAATAGAAAGAGCTATGCTTGGAATATCACGTTTCACTCAAATGAGAGAAAAAAATCCGGAGTTCTGACATCTGTCGACGATCTAGAATCAGGGACGCTGTCTCATTTGCCAAGGTGTCGAAAATCAGATGGGCTGGTCACGTAATGAGATTTAAAGACAACCGCTGGACTGGAGCTGTTACCGACTGGATTCCACGGGATGTCAAAAGACCGCATGGCCGCCCACCTTCCAGATGGTCAGACTTCTTCGTCAAGATCATGAATGATCGGTTTGAGGCCCTTCATGTTCCCGGAACGAACAGATGCCATTGGGCTACACTAGCACGCGACAGGGACAAATGGAGACGTTACTGGCGCCCGCTCGAGCAAATCGACGACTAACGGGAAGTTAAGTGATTAAGTGATTAATGTTCCCAGTATCCCTCCCGCCTCCTCCACCCCACCCCACCCCACCCTATTCCACCCCCACCCCTGCCTCCGTGGCAGGCACATTCCTAATGACTCTCTCTCTATTTGGGGGCATTATGTTTTGCAATTGGGCTGGAGTTGGGCGTTTGCCTTGCATGCCCCTCTTGGAGAGCCCAGCAAGCTACCGCGAGTATCTCGCCCACATGGCATAGCCTGGCAAGCTTCCCGTGACGTATTTGATATGCCAAACACAGTAACAACATGTCTCACATCTCGGATCTGTGATGTTTTGCAATACAGATACTGAGAGGCCATCAATTTTGGTCTTTAGTCAACTTTCAGTACGGATCTTCCACCCCCAGCGATCCCTCCGTCATTAGGGATCACCATAATTGGAGGCGATCGGGGACCCACTGTATCTCTTGGTTTTCTGTAAATTTTATTTTACTGAAGAGCCTGATGTACAACGTCATTGGCAGTTGAGCCACCAGCCAGGCAACCTCCCTCTGGCAGTGTCCCCATGCTATGGGGACACCACTCCCCGCCCCCAGCCCACCCCACCTCTCCCACCGCCCCAGCCCCACCCTTCTGCCCTCTTGACAAGGAGTGGGGGCCATGATGTTGGTCTACTCAGCTCTGAGTTTGTGGTTTAGAAAGAGCTCTCATTTCTCACAGGTGAGCCTGTGGTTTGGAAAGGGAAAGCCATACCACTCTCTATTCACAGGTTTACCCAGACCTTTGTCCTCCTTGTCTTTGTTTTCTCATTGTCCCTTCTCATCATCTTCCTCCCTGCTCCTCCTCCATTTCCTGCCTTCCTGTAAGCCCTACGCACTGGCCTAAGCTCTGCAGTGACTGGTCCACCGAGAGTAAACAGGCTGCCAACAGAATATGTGTCCCAGGGCGACAGCTCTGCTCCAAATCACTCCCTGACAGAAAGAGAAAGGTGGATAAAAATATCAAATGAAATTGCCCAAGTGCTGACAGCGACACAGCGGTCCCAGGAGGGAACTTCTGTGAGCACAGACTCTGTCCTTATCCTGCTCCCTCCACACAAAGTGTGGGCTGTGATGTTGGTCTTCTCTCCCTCCCCACCCCACCCCACCCCTGCCCCACCCTGCCCATGGTCTCTTCTCAACTTTTCTCGGGGACTGGAGCCCACTAGCTGTGCCAGACCCCAGACCCCTCCCGAGCACGTCTGCTCCTCACGCAGCGATATTAGCGTTACATTCCCCAGCCCCGCCGGTCCCTCGGCAGGAAAGGGGACAACGGGGTGGGGAGAGGGGAGTCCGGGACACCCAGTGGCCGATGGTGCCCCCAGGCGAAGGGGTCAGGAAGCCTGAAGGAAGAGGGGGATAAGTAGAGGTGGGTGGCACCGTGGAATGGGGAGGAGTGCGCCCGGGGATCGCAGGTAGAGGCAGACCCAGAGATGTGGGCAGAGCAAGCTGAGGTCGAGGTCCCGAGCCTGCACGCGTCCTGCCTGGTAACGGTTTATCCTTAAGGCAGATTTACAGGTATTGCGAGACAGCTGAGAATCCAAGCTTCAGGGTGCCTACGTGCTCGGGGCTCAGCGTTTGACTCAGTTTCTCCTTGGCTGGGGTGCTGACTCAGTAGGACAGGAATTCGTGACCCCGCACCTTCTCTGCGCCGCGGCTGACGTTTACTCTGACCGCGCCTTGGCGGCTAGAGACGCCCCAAGGAGTCGCGGGCACGGGCTGGACTGAGGGGGACAGGGCGGGGGGCCGAACTGGTCCTGCGGGTCCTTTGCCGGAACACCTCAACTCCCTTGGACCCCCGCGGATCAGGTGAGGCGCGAAGGGCGTCCCCGCGTCCCCGGACGGGCACCCGCGCCGCTCGTAGCATCTTGACGGAGCGTGTCCGCGGTTTGGCCCAAGGGACAAATCTTTGAAAGTGAAAGCTGGGACGGAAAAGTAGATGTTATTGTCCCCAGCAACCTCCAGCAAGCCCCAGAGCCATTTTGTTGCAGGCAAGTCCGGCGGATCGCGGCGCAGACAAGTCGCGCTTCCGGGGACAGAGAAGTTTTCACGTCATACCTGGCAGTGCCCGGGCGCCGAGGAAGCCACCTGCGGCGGCGACAGGCGGTGCGACGCGGAGCAACGAGGAGCCTTGGCCGGACGCGGGTGAGTGCGGGACGGGGCAGAGGGGGACCTCGCCCAGCTGAGCTGGGGGCGCTTGTCGGGGTGGGCGCGCCAGTGCTGGAGAAGTGAGGTAGGGGTGGAGGGCGGCGGGGGAGTGGAAGGGAGGTGACTGAATTTCTTGCTATTTTTTTTTTTTTGGCCACACCCGGTGGTGCTCAGCGCTTAACTCTTGGCTCAGCACTTAGGAAGGGATGGAGACCCTGAACCTCTTACTTCATTGGTGTTTTTTGTTTTGTCTTGTTTTTGTTTTGTAGTGTAAAGAAACTTTTTTTTTTTTTTGGTTCACAACCAGCAATGCTCAGAGGTTACTCCTGGCTCTGCACTCAGGAATTACTCCTGGTAGTGCTCGGGGAACCATAGAAGATGCTGGGAATCGAACCCAGGATGGCCGCCCTACCCGCTGTACTGTTGCTCTGGCCCAAGAAACTGTGATTTATAAAGTTATTGTTAACTGAGTGTTAGACGTACAATTTAACAACACCAGCATCAGCTTCCCTCCACCAGGCTCCCAAGTTCCACTCCACCCATCCCCCACTCCACTCCAGCCCTCCGCCCCACGCCCTCTTCTTTCTTGGTGGGAACGGAGCTCTCAGTTGTGGTGGTGGTTTAGAGCTCAAGTTTTTTCAGTATTATAATTCAGTTTAAACCTCTGTCACTGGTAGATTCGAAGCCCTTGAACCTCTGTTACCGATTACTTCCCTGTTTCATTGTCCTCCTTCCCCTCTCCGTTTTGTCCCTTTTCTGGACTGTTCAGTGAGTTCAAGCGTGGGTTATGGTGGCTGAGAACCACCTCCCAAGGCTGGCTGAAGGTGACTGACAAAGGAACAGGGCCAGCCATGGGCTGGTTGGTAATCAGTGACTCTTCATTCAAGTCTCACAGTGTTAATTATATAGAAATTGTGAAGGGTGGGGGTACACATAGGCGGGGTTGAACGTTATCATAACAATAAGCAGATGTGTAAAGCCCTTTCTTCAGTGGAAGTTCTTCTAGGAGATTAACTCAGGGATAACTTCTCATCTGGGGGCTCAGCGCTCTAGGTTACTAGGAGATCCATTCATCTAAGGGAGTATTGCTTTCTCCTTTCCTTCGTTAATCCATTTATTTCTATCATTTTGTATGGACACAGAAGAAATATATTGAGCGTAAATGGTGACTCTTCCTGGGGACATCTTGCTATGTATACCAGACCCCAGTCCTCAGGCCGTTAGTCTTTCCTAACCCCACCTGAGTCCTTATTCAGGTACTTCATTTTGGGTCATGACAGAGTTTGTTCCATGACTATGCTCTTAAATTATTATATTTATGGTACTTAGCCTGTCTCTTTTCGATGCCAGGGTCATTTACAGATTGCCCTGGCTTCATCCAAATCTTTCGCCGGGACCCCTCCTTTTGGAGATGTTAGAAAGTAAGAGCAATGGAGGCTTAAGGCAAATAAATATGATGGATGCCCAGGAGCAAATATTCAGCAGAATCAGTTAGGTCCCATGTTACAAAAGCATGACATGAACTGTATTCCTGTGTCTAGACAAAAAGGACATTGCTAAACCATGCAAAGGACATAAAGTAAAAGGAAAGCAATCTAAGATTAGGAGAGTCTGATAGAATTGGTGTGCCTCGGGAGCACTGTGATGGGTGCAATAAACCTAAGCTCCCTGCAGGAGGAGCAAAGACAGACCAGTGTTGTCCAACACTTGTCCTTATACTCTGGGCCCAAGAGTGACCGAGGCATCCCTCCTTGAATATATTACATTTCTTTGTCCAGCTATTCTCTAGTTCCTGCAAGTGAGTGAATGAATCATAACTTTGTCCAGCAGGGCTGTGGATTTTACTATCACCCGTCTTTTCATTTCAGATCAGGGACTGGGTGTCTTGTGCTATGGTAGCATTAGGGAGAACTTGGTGAGAGCAAATGCGAATCACCTAGGGGGATCAAGTTTGGAAGGGCAGGGTAGAAGAGTGGGCCTGGTAGAATAGGAATGCTGGAGAGGAAGATGAGGTAAAGGAAGATGGGAAACAGTCTGGAGGAGAAGGAGCTAGGAGTGGTGGAAGAAAAAACAGGAAGTGTGGGAGGACAGGAAGTTGGTTGGACAAAGGCTGGAAATGGGTAGAAGTTACTTGGGTGAATTTTGGTTGGAGCTCTTTTGTCATGATTAGAGCACTTTTGTCATGATTATTATTGTTATTTTTGATGACTAACCCTGTTTGGCATGCTTACTCCATACCAGTCTCCCATCACTGTACTTCCCATTGAATTTCAGCAAGTGGCTTTCAGACCTCCTTGGAGTGAAGCTTAAAACGAATGGGAAGATGTCTCTGGTGTCATCCATAGCAAAATTTGGACTGATTCTATTGCTGGTGGAGCCCAGGAAGCTTCTGGCAAGTGAGTGCCCAGTGATCTCCGTACCTGGCTCTGGAGGAGGTGGGGTTGAGGCAAGGGGCTTCACTCAGGAATCAGATCAAGTGAGGGGTGCCTGTCTTGACTCTTACAGAGGGGAGGGTTTGGTGGGATTTTCCTTACACCAACTGCTCTGGGACTTACCTGAGGCACCAGGCCTGGGGCTATGCTCACAGGTAATAGCTTTTCCTCCTCCATCCTTTCCTGAATCCTCAAGACCCATCATGCAAAGATCAATGGGTCTTTTTAGGTTGCTACTGACATTCTTATCGATGGGGATATATTTTAAGTCTGAGGAGAAGAGACACTGTGTTGTGCTTTTTTATGTCATAACTGGTAGAATTGGTAGGAAAATGTGCCTGCTGCATCTGCTTGGAGCCAGTACATAAACCTGAGGGCTCATGGTAGCAGCTGAGTGACCCCACACGGGTAAAGACCCAGAAAATACAAGGTCTGAAATGGAGATTCTGTGTCTGCAGCCAGGCCCTGAAGGGGTCCCTCAACCCTTCTGTTCTTCTCTCATAGGTCGTAACTTACTTGACTTTAGCCTCGTTGTCAATTCCCAGTCGACACCTCAACATCCCTGGTGGGCAGTCAACGGCTCAGTGAACACAGTGCCTTTCCTTTCGTGTGACAGTCACAAGAAGATGGCCACACCTGTGGGTTCGCTGGGAGAGAAGGTGCAGAATACTACAGTGTGGACAGACATGCTCCAAACTCTAGTAGAAGTGTGCCAAAATCTCAGGGGGCTTCTGCTTACCAGCGGTAAGTGTGTGAAAGGGTGGGAGACGGAGGCATTGAACAAAAAAGCAGAAGGCCCAGCACTGATGAGGAAAGAGGAGACATGGCGGGTGGAGTGGGCATGAAAGGAGGTCAACAAGAGGAGACTCCTGAGGCCCCCAAATGTGCAACATGGGACCTGTGGAGGGTGACAGTGCTCAGAGTGTGACCGATGACTCTCTGTGGGATTGCAGGTCACCGCACCCTGCAGGCCAACCTGTCCTGCGGTCTTGACGCTGGTGCATCATGGGCGTTCAGCATCAATGGACAGACAGCTCTCATTGACACCCTGAATATGAACTGGAGAGTCACTGGTCCTGAAGCCAGAAAGTTTAAGGAGGAATGGGAGAGCAATCATAAACTGAAAAAGAGCTTACAAACTACCTCCAGGGGAGACTGCATTGATTGGCTGAGGAAAATCTTAAGATTCTGGGAGGAAATGCCGGAGGGTGCAGGTACCTTAGCAGGGTGGGAGGGTGTGGGCGCTCTCTTTAAAGGCCTGTGCCTTCCCCGAGAGGATGGGAAGCTGATATCTTGGTGCAGAGTCAATGCTATCGTAAGTTTTCCCACCATCCTTCCCATTAACGATCTAGTCAATTAGGCAATACACTAAACTATTAAAAGAAAACAAAACACTGTGTTCTCATGCTTTCTATTATCTCTCTTCCTCTATTCTCCTTGATCCTGAGCCAACATGAAAGCACTTCTAATGCTTTCACTTTCTTCCTCAGACAGAACTAAGTGCTCCCAAATTATGTCATCCTCCCACAACAAAATTTCAAATTGATAATAATCAATTAGATATTGACTGTCACCCTCATACACATCTGAACTCCATGTAAGAATTCTACCGCTGAATCGCCCATGCATCTGAATCTGAACTCCATGTGAACACGGTACAATCCCTGTTCATCTTACACTGTGGAACCTAATAGAGTGGCTGTCATTTTAAGAGCAAATCTGAAGGTGACAGCTGCTACCTGGCAAACTAGGTTTAAAAAACGTGTAATTTGAGTTCTGACATGACTTTTCTTTTGTGTTTCTTTCAGCATCACAATCAGAGGACCCAGTTACACACCAGAAACCTTCACCTGCTGCCTGTGTAGTGGGGAATTTCCCAAGGATAATCATCCTAGCAATCATCTGTGCAGTCCTGATAGTGCATTTGTTATAGATTTGGAATACTGGACAACAGCACTGTGCAGAACATGTGGGAAGTGGTTATCTAGAAACTTGGTAACTAAAAGAATGGATGACAAAACAACAAAAGCAACTGCTGTTGGCTTGAATGTGGGGAAAAAGGAACTCTCCTTCATTGGAAAGTTATCATCTATATTCCTTTACCTACTTTTAGCCCTCAGTTCTTGTCTAGAGTGATCATTTCCAACTGTCATTGTCATAGAGGTCCCTTCTCCGTCCTAACTGCCTCTCCCCCTTGTCCACACCGGTGACAAACTTCCTCTCACGAGCCAGTCTTCCTGGTCCTCATAATTAGATGTTTCAATAAAACAGACTTTAATTTGGAGCTGGGAGATAGTTCAGAGGTTTAAGTGTTTGCCTTGCACACGGCGGACTGATTCATTCCTTGGTTTGTGGTCCCTCAGGCACCACCAGGTGGATCCTTGAGCACAGAACTAGGAATAAGCCCTGAGCACAACTGGGTATGGCCCCAATACCTAGATAAGTAATAGATAGATAGATAGACATATTTATTGATTGATTTTAGTTTAAATAATGTATTCTAAGTATGATATTATTTAAATAATGTTGTATTCTAAGTATGACTTAAGACTTTGCTTTACTTAGACATTTATATTTAATAAGAATACTAAACCAATATTTAGCTTGTCAGAGTAGTGAAACTTTAAAATAATCATATTTAATTTTTAAATAAATTGAACTAAATCCAAACTGTGTACAGAATTCCCTAAAACAGAACATTAAGGAGCAATCATATCTGTGTTAGAAATGTACTATTTTAGCTGAAAATATAAATTCTTGATAAAAAGAACAGTACAACCCTTCATAGCTCAATGCTTAGAACATTTCCCTCCTAGACTGGTGAGGAGGAAATTATGGCATAGTCCAAGTTCCCACCCTGGATGTACACTGATTCCTTCTGTGATGGTTGCTTCATTTCACATCGGTTGTCCCACAGAGGTTTCCTTGTATATCTAAGAATTCCATCCTATGCACACAGAAAAATTCCAGAAACTTCTTTTTAAAATTTTTAAACTCTTTTTTATTGCTCGAGGGTCTGTGATTTACAATACTGTTATTGATGGTTTCCCATGTACATAATTCCAACACCACGCCCTTCTCCGGTGTACCCACTTCCCTCCACCAAATACCCCACTAATTCTTCTAGATTGTTCCAGAAATTTCTAAGAAAAAAATTTGAAAAACCTACTAGCATGCTAATATTGTTTATTAAACCACAGTGTTACTGTTTTAGTCAAAACAGGATTTTAAGCTATTTTTATTAACAACTTCAAATTTCATGATATCAGAAAAAGTGTTTGTTTCTTATTAATAAAAATGAATTTGGACAAAGGAAAGAGTATCCCTAAATTTCTCAAAAAACTACTAAAATATATATAAGCTGCCATGTCACTGTGTCTCTGCTTGGCATAAAAGCAGACCCAACTCCCTCTCTCCAAAGCTATCCTCCAGCTGTGCCAGTGACATCCTTCCCAACTTCATTTATTTTCATGCCAGTAAAACCTCTCTTTCTACTCAGTTGTTCTTGTGCCATTTGGGGCAAGCAGAGGGTGGGGGAACAAGTAAAAGATGGTATTGCCAGGGCCACAATTATTTTAATTTTATTTATTTTTTTATTTATTTTTTAATGAAATGACGTTCATTCCAAGCTACCCTGATTCAGAGTCAGTAGGCAGGTGGGCAGACATGGGGGTCCCTGTGCAGGAGGAGATCACTGAAGCAGCTCAGGGAAGAAGGGGAAGGAGTGGCATCAGGGGCTGTGACACCAGACAGTCGTGGCCCCTGCTGGCCCATGTGGGTCACTGCACTGCACTAGGGATTCTGTCCCAACCCTAGGAACCAGCTGGCCTCAGCTGTGTCTAATTTAGCATCCTAGACTCAGGAGACTTAATTCAGCTTTGGGAGATTATAGGAATCCAGGAATTTATCCATTTCTTCTAGGTTCTCTTGTTTCGAGGCATACAGACTTTCAAAGTAGTCTCTGATGATCTTTTGGATTTCTTTGGTTTCTGTTGTGATATCCCCCTTCTCATTTCTGATTCAGTTTATTAGGGTTCTCTCTGTTTCTTTGTGAGTGTTGCTAGTGGTTTATCTCTCTTGTTTATTTTCTCGAAGAACCAGCTCTTGGTTTCACTGATCTTTCGAATTGTATCTTTGGTTTCCATGTCATTGATTTCTGCTCTAAGTTTTATGATCTCTTTCCTTCTGCCTGATTTAGGCTCTTTATATTGATCTTTTTCTAAGGTCTTGAGCTGTGAGATCAAGTTGTTTATGTGCATCCTTTCTTCAGTCCTGAGATATGCTTGCAGAGCTATATATTTTCCCCTTAATACGGCTTTCGCTGCATCCCATAAGTTCTGGTAGCTCGTGTCTTCATTTTCATTTGTTTCCAGGTATCTTTTGATTTCGTCCTTGACTTCATTCCTGACCCACTCATTATTCATCATTGACTTGTTTAATTTCCAGGTGTTTGATTTGGTTCTCCGTGTCTGTGTGTGATTCACTTCTATCCTCAGTGCATCGTGGTCTGAAAAGATGGTTGATACTATTTCTATCTTCCTAATTCTGTTGAGGTATGTTTTGTGGCCTTGGACATGGTGTGTTTTGGAAAATGTTCCATGTGCACTGGAGAAGAATGTATATTCTTTCTTTTTTGGGGTGTAAAACCCTGTATATGTCTATAAGCCCTCTCTCTTCTATTTCTTCTTTCAAAGCCAATGATTCCTTGTTGAGTTTTGTTCTTGTTGATCTATCCAGAGGTGATAAGGCGATGTTGAAGTCTCCAACTTCTATTGTGTTGCTAGCAATGTCCTCCTTAAAATCTGTTAGCAGTTGTTTTAAATATTTAGCTGTTCCCTCATTAGGTGTGGATAGATTGAAGAGTGTGATTTCCTCCTGTTGTACGTTTCCCTTGATGAAGAGAAAATAGCCTTTGCTGTCCCTTCTAATCTTTTTCAACGTGAAATTAATGTTGTTGGATACTAGTATGGCCACCCCAGCTTTTTGAAGGAGCTGTTTGCTTGCAGGTTTGTTTTCCGTCCTTTCACTTTGAGTCTGTGTTTGCTCAGACTGTTGAGATGAGTTTCTTGTAGGCAGCAGAAAGTTGGGTTCTGTCTCTGTATCCATTTTACCATTATGTGTCTCTTAAATGGTGAATTTAGACCGTTGACACTGAGAAAGATTACTGTTATGTGGGTTTTGTGTCATCTTTATGTAAGGGTCTTTTGTTGTTGTAGGGTTTGTCTTGTCTTATAGTAGTCCCTTTAGGCCTTGTTTTAGGTTTCGTTTTGAGTCTATGAAATTCTGAGCTGCGGTTTATCTAGAAAATGTACCCTTCCTTCGAATTTGCGTGAGAGTTTAGCTGGATAGAGTATTCTTGGTGAAGCATTCATTTCAGTTTTTTCACTATATCTAGCTACTGCCTTTGGGCTTGGAGGGTTTCCTCTGATAGATCTGCTGCGAATCTAAGGGGCGCTCCTTTTTATGCGATTTCCTTCTTTGACCTTGCTGCTTGCAGTATTGTGTCTCTATCCGCAGCATCGATCTTTCTATGATATGTCTTGGAGTGTTTTTGTTAGGGTCTCTTTTAGCTGGCACCCTTCAGGCTCCTTGAATCTGAATGACTGTATTGTTGAGCTCTGGGAATTTTTCAGCGATGATTTGTTTAACCATGGCTTTTTACTTGGGATTGCTTCCCTGACCTTCTGGTAGTCCAATGATTCTAATGTTGTTTCTCTTGGAATCGTCTCCCAGGACTCTGATTCTCTCTAGAGCTATTTTGAGGTCCCTTGCCAATGTTTGTTGTTGCCTGTTGGCTTGGTGCAGCTGATCTTCCAGCTCACTGATTCTTTCCTCAGCTGTGGTCATTCTATTTTTGAGGACACAGACTGAGTTTTTTATTTCAACTATGGGATCTTTCATTCGTGACATTTCTGTGCATAGCATTCCAATTTCAGCTCTCATTTCTTCCTGTATTTTCTCGATTGTGCGATCCATTGTTTCTTTCGTGTCCTCTTTTAATTTACTGGATATCTGTCTGACTTTTTCATTGAGTTGATTGACCATTTTCATGACTTAATATCTGAATTCTTTCTCAGAGAAGTCCCTAAGGTGAATAGCACCTACTGAGGATTCTGGACTCTTTTCATCGTCCTCTCCCTGTGGTGGGGATTTGCGTTGTTTCTTCATGTTGGTTTGTAGGTGTGGGGACTAGATTTCTTGGTATGACTAAACTACCTGTGGGCCCGGGAGCATTGGCCCACAGAAAATTAAGCCACGCCCACTTTTACAGAAGCCACGCCAACTTCTAAAGCGGCCACACCCCCATGGGAACCTGGTATGTGTGGGGGGAGTAAAGACTGGGTGGGGAGAAGACCAGCTCAGCTTGGGGTACGAAAAGGAAGAGGCAGTGGTTCAGAGCTGCTTTGTGTCCCAAGGTCCGAGAGGATGCCTGGGGGACTTGCAGGGAAAAATCAAAGTCCCGGGTTCGAGATGCGACGAATAAAGTGACCTGGGTGGGGGAAGACCAGCTCAGCTTGGGGGATGAAAAGGAACAGCCAGTGACTCAGAGCTGCTTTATCTCCCAAGGTCCGAGAGAACACCTTTGGGGCTTGCTGGGAGACATCCAAGTCCCAGGTTCGAGAAGCGACGAATAAAGTGACCTGGGTTGAGGGAAGACCAGATCAGCTTGGGGGATGAAAGGAAAGAGGCAGAGGCTCAGAACTGCTTTGTCTCCCAAGGTCCGAGAGCAAATGTTTTAATTTTAAAAACTGCTAATTAAAATTAATACCAACCTCAATTCCTGAATTTCACAACAATCTGAAATAGATCATTCAAGACACCACAGAGAGCCATGGCCAAAGAAGAGTCTAATCAAAGTGACAATTTCATTCTAACACAGAAAACGGTTTTTAATTACTCATGAAATAATGTACTGTGATATTTTAATAAGTA